GCAAGAAAGCTCAGCAAGAGCCCAAAGCCAGCCAGAAGAAAAAGGAGGTGGAGGAAGGACGAGAGAGGAGAAACAGGGCCTTTACTATAAGAAATATATTTCTGAGTCAGGCACCAATGGCTCATGCCTATAACTCCTAGCTAATCAGAAGACTGAGATCTAACTACAGGTTAAAGCCAGCCTGAGCAGTAAAGTCCAGAAAAATCTTTTTATTTGTCAGTCGTGGGGCTTGAACTGTGGGCTTGGGCACTGTCCCTGTGCTCTTCAGCTCAAAGCGAGCACTCTACTGCTTGAGCCACAGCACCACTTCCGGTTTTCTAGTGGTTTATTGGAGATAAGAGTCTCACGGACTTTCCTGCCTGGGCTGGCTTTGAACTGTGATCCTCAGATCTCAGCCTCCTGAGTAGCTAGGATTACAGGCGTGAGCCACCAGTGCCTGGCTCGGCTCGGAAAACTGTTTTGTTTTTTTTTTTTGGGTCTGGTCATGGGGCCTGAACTCTGGGCCTGGGCGCTGTCCCTCAGCTCTTCAGCTCAAGGCTAGCACTCTACCACTTGAGCCACAGTGCCACTTCCGGCTTTTTTCTTTCTGCTTATGTGGTGCTGAGGAATCAAACCCAGGGCCTCATGCATGCAAGGCAAGCACTGTACCACTGAGCCACCTTCCCAGCCCTTGGGAAACTCTTATCTTCAATTAACCACCAAAAGCTGGAAGTGGGGCTAGGAAAGTGGCTCAGTGGTACAGTGCTTGCCTTGCATGCATTAGGCCCTGGGTTCGATTTCTTAGCACCACATACGCAGAAAGAAAAAAGCCGGAAGTGGCACTGTGGCTCAAGTGGTAGAGTGCTAGCCTTGAGCTGAAGAGCTGAGGGACAGAGCCCAGGCCCAGAGTTTAGACCCCATGACCAACAGGAAAAAAAAAAAAAGCTGGAAGTGGAACTGTGGCTCAAATGGTAGCCTACCAGCCTTGAGCAAACAAAGCTCAGGGACAGCACTCGGGCCCTGATTTAAAGTTCCAAGATTGGAGCATGTGCACGTACACATTTGTGAACACATACATACCTGATTTCTATCGTTTAAGTCACCTAGTCTATGATATTTTGTTATGCCAGCTTCAGCTAAAGTACCAACCAAAACTAAAATGTTCTAGGCTCCTGGTGATATAACCAAATACACAAGTAAAAAAGACATCCACTAAACTAACATTCTCTACCAAGACCCCACTCCTAACCCCATTGCCTGCTCCAGCCTCTTACTCTCCCAACAGCTCTGCTTTTTTGTTTCCTTCCTTGAGATGCTGGAGACTGAACCTAAGGCCCTGTTTGTGGTAGGCAGGGGCTCTACCAGTGAGTACATTCCTAGCCTAACAGCTACTTTTTTTTTTTTTTGGCCAGTCCTGGGGCTTGAACTCAGGACCTGGGCACTGTCCCTGAGCTTCTTTTGCTCAAGGCTAGTACTCTACCACTTGAGCCACAGTGCCATTTCTGGCTTTTTCTGTTGATGACTGGTACTGAGGAATTGAACCCAGGGCTTCATGCATGCTAGGCAAGCACTTGACCACTAAGCCACATTCTCAGCCCAAGAGCTACACTTTTGAAGACTAACCTAATCTGAAAGGTTCTAAAGCCCAGAGTGTTTGTACAAAAAAGAGCAACACTCATGCCCAATTACCCAGGGTGAAAGTACTTGGCTGTTAACAAAACAGTGCTAGTATTTTGTGACCAGAACAATCAAGGCTGCTCCAAATGGAGTTACTACTTGCACATGCTCACTTGCTACAAGACTGTCTCAAAGGAGAAGATGGCACCCTCCTCTCAGCTACTATCCAACCCACCTAGCTCCCAGCACTAAAATGAGCAGGTGACTCAGGCACACCAACACCCACAAACAACTGAGTTTTGTTCGGAAATTCACTGGTGTTTTAGTTAGGAAGCGACTTTGGTCAGGACTCATGACAGCATACAGAAACAATCCCTCAGGGAACCTTCCCACGGGATTTCTGCCTGAAGCAGAATCTCACAGGATTCTTTATTGTTTTTTTTAAAGCTGACATTTGGGAAAGTTCAGTTTTCTCTCCTCTACAACTAAGCTCTAACTGTAGATTAGGGTTTGACATAAACTAGATTCTTTTTGAGAAAATCTACTAGAAAATGACTTAAAAGATTAGGAGACATGGCTCAAGTGCTACAATATCTGCTTGCCTGTCTGTCTAGCAGTTCTGAGGCCCCAAGTTCAAACCCTAGGACCTGCACAAAAATAAAAATAAAAAAATAGCCAGGTGCTGTTTGCTCA